TCTAGGCAAACGCTCAGCTGAAGCTTCTTCAGATGATTCACATGCATATGACTCAGTATGTATGCTACCCATCGTGCTCTTGCTGGCCAGCACTCATCAGAAGGACCTTAGGGGACATGAAACTTGAGACTCACCCAAGAAGCAGTCTCTTTGTTTAAACAGCGGCTCTCTTCCTGAGGTCTGGGCTGTCCATTGCACATGTGATGTGCTAACATCTTCTCAGGCTCCTGCTACCAAACCCTTGATTCTGGGATTGCTCAGAATTGGAAATTCCGGTTGCACACCAGAATAAAACCTGGGTGTTTGTAGTGTATGTTATAATTGCCATTGGTATCCAGAAGCCGTCTGGTTCACTCCTGCCCATTGGTAGTTGGGGCAGGAATGAAACCTGACTTTTATGGGGCGCAGAAATGAAAACTGACTACTTGCTTCAAAGCCTCTCACCGTCATCTGCCATCGATTACACTGACTTCTGACTTAAGGGTGGAATTTTAATTACGGGTGAGGGTACCATTCTCGTTAGCCAACTAACTGGGTCCCTGGCTACTGGTTTAGGAGGAGTGTGCAAAGGGAACTACCCAGGGACCAACTAAAAGGGGCACAGTGAGGTGATCTAAGAATTTACAAATATTTGAGAGCTACAAAAAAACAAAAACAAAAAACAGGAGGATTTTACATACAGGTAATTGTGGGCTCTAAAAGTTAGGAAGAACCCCAGATATCACTGTTAAGTTTAAAAATTTTTACAAATTAGCAACAAAAAGTTCTAAACTTGTAGAAACCATAAAAATAAACTTATTTCCTGAAAAGTGCAGACTTACTTTACAGACCTTTATTTACTTCAGCTTTGAAAACTATCAAACCAACATTTTAAAGTCAGTCTTTATATGAAGGGAAAATACATAATTATGACATTTTAAGAATAATTTTCTTCCTTTTTTTTTTTTTTTTTTGTAGTGTTCCCATGACACCATGCAAAAACCTTCCATTAAAAACCTTCCAAATATTTGCAGGAGCCCTTTTAAAGCAAGACCATTAAGAATATAACCTACAGCTGGGCCTAGCGGCACATGTCTTTAATCCCAGCACTCCAGAGGCGGAGGCAAGGCAGATCTCTGAGTTTGAGGCCAGCCCTGTCTACCCGTCTAAACAGTGAGTTCCAGGACACCTGGGGCTAAACAGAATAACCCTGTCTTAAATTTTTTACATGTATGAGTATTTGCCTGCATTTTATTACATGGTTAAATTAGACATGTAATTTTTTTTTTTTTTAAATCTGAAATCATCATAACTAGTGCATGACTTGACAAGGTTTTCCTCATACAGGGAAAGGCCACCTACCTTGTGGCTAGGATCTGAACATTTAAACAAACAACTGTTCCTCAAACGTTTCTGATCCGATTAATCTGTTTGCTCGCTCTGTTAGCTACAGAAGGCTTCAGTGTGGCCAGTCCACTTGAATACGCCCCACTTACAACCTCAAACCATTTTCAGTTCTGAAAAAGGAAAAGTGACTGACGGCGAGGAGCAGGTAACACTAGATTAGCAACCAGCGCTTAAAAACGGCATGCAATTTTAAAGTCCTTTTTGGAAATTTGTTTTATGAGTGTTTTGCTTGCATGCATGTACGTACATATGCATTTAGTGGCTGCAGAGGTCGAAGAGCTCATCAGATCCCCTGGAACTGGAGTCACGGATGGTTATGAGCCACCATGTGGGTGCTGGGAACGGAACTGGGCTCTTCCAGAGGAGCAAGTGCAGAATTCTCTCCTGCCTGATTTTTATCTTCAATTATGTGTATGAGTACGTGTGCTGTGTGTACGAGTGTGTGAATGCGGGTGTCTCGGAGGCCAGAGGCTGCCACAGGTGGGCGCTGGGAATTGAACTCAGGTCTTCTGGAAGAGCAGGGGACATTCTCAGCTGCTGAGCCATCTCTCCAGCCCCTAAATTATTTTAATAGATGGATTCTAGTGCTGGCTCTGTCACTATCTAGGGGAACTTAAGCAAATCACTTCATCACTTTGGTCCTGCTTATATTATCTCTTAAGAAATACCTTGGTCCCTCAACCTTAAGTTGTCATAAAGGGATTTTCACCAACGGGTTACCTGTCGTCCTTGCCCAAGCCACTTAAGGTGAATGTATTTAAGGAGAGGTACCCAATCCACTATCTTCAGATATCAGGATTACATGTTCTAGGGACGAGGTCCTGAATTCTCCTCTTTCACACTCTGCCCTGATTTTATAAGAACAGCTGCCCAGAGGAAACCCTTCTTCTCCCTGAGGAAACGATGGAAAACTGACCTTAGATGGGCAATCTAGAAATTACTGGTTCAGATTTCCTCACAGAGCAACACGCAGCGGCTTAAGCTTTGATCTGTTCTCCATTGGCTGCCTGCTCAGAGCAATCTTAACCTAAGATATGGTTACTGTAGGGGAAGCCTGGACTTTTGATTGGTTACACTCAATTTAAGAATGTAAGCAGCTGAGCTCTTTTCCTAAAGCTGGTGTTTAGATCCTTATTTCAAATATGTCAATTTCTTAACTAGTTTTTAGTATTAGCTTAGTGTCAGGATTAAATAAGGCAAGCTCCTACTGTCTTCTCAGTTATCTAGATGTTTCCTAGTCTCTAGGGTCTCCCATCAGTTTTCAAATCTTGAGTGCAGGCAGCCATCACTTCCGTACCACCAATTAGAGTGCAGCTCCAAAGCTAATTTCCTTCCATGGCATGCAAAACGAAGCGGTACTCTGTATGGGGAACTGTGCTTTCCTGAAGCTTGAGACCAGTCACACGGAGTCTTGGGAAGGTTGAGATAAGAGGATGGGGAGGCGTGAAGAAGCCACGTGGAAACTTGCTACCTGGCAACCCGACTTAACACTACAAGAGGCTGGAGGGAGACACCCTGCTCCGCTCGACAGCTCCCAGTGTCAGGTGTGAGATGCCTCCCTAGGGCTCGGTCAGTCCTGGTTGTTTACTAGAATTAGAGGGTAAGACCACCACCTGTGACTTCAAGTACTGCCCAGCCTGCATAGCAAGTTTTAGGTCAGCCAGGCCTACAAAGCCAGACCTTGTCTCAAAACAAAACCGGTTCTATTGCTAAGACAGCACACACTTGGGTTGCGAGACAGAGAAAAGCTGGAGCTGAGCTGGAAACTTCCTTATTGGGTGGCATTCAGAGTAGGAATGTACAGTGCAAGTAGCCGGGAGAGGCAGTCTTAACCCGCTGTGAGTCCTACCAGCTACAAAACCAACCTTTCAGGCACTGTGTCATTTGTGCAACAGCGGCATGATTGTTACGGGTACAATCAACCTCCCGGATTGGATTTGAGGCCTGCTCAATGGAGTGAGACCCATGTCTAGTGAACAATTCATGCCTGGGCTGGTCATAGGCTCAAGGTGTGTTGGGGCAAGGGAAGATTTTAACAAAATTGAAATAGCACAAAGTATGTTTATACCATAGTCAAACACTCTTGACCTTAAGAATCTTCTTTGCAATGAAGAGATCAAATGCAGACTATTGGGGGCCCACATGCTCAGAACAAGTGATGACTGAGTGTCTAACCCCAAACTAATTTATAATATCCTAAGGCTCAGGGATGATGACAGAAGAGGTGGTGGCAAAAATGTCGAAGCAGGAAGATAGGGCAAAAGGCTATGAAATGCCAGCTTCGAAGCATGACACAATTATGAACCCACAGTAGCTATTACTTGCCCTAGGCCAAGACTGGCCCTGCCGACTTGCATGGGGCTCTAATCCTTATTGCTAAACTAGTTGTCACTGGTAACACTTGAGGAATCCCTTTCAGTTTTGTACCAATTGTACCAATTGCTGAGCCCACCATGCTCCAACAGATAGCTTTAAATGCATGGCATGCCCAGATGGTCACAGTCAGCCTTGGTTAAACTCTGGAATCCTCAAAGGAATGGGAGAGATTTGTAGGGAAGATGAAGCTAGACAGGGAGAGAAGGAATCTACAGAGCTGAAGAGTGGGCATGCATTATATGAAACTGTCAAGACCAGAAAGGGGTCTTTTGATTTTAAGCAACCCCTGCCCACCCCCCAGTACACTTGACTTCTAGCTCCAATGCGCTAAGTTAATGGATTGCTGTTGGAAGACTCTGTTGTGATGGGTGGGGCAGAGCTAACCATATACACTCCTGAATGTTTTTGCCATCTGATGTCTAGTTAGGTGGAGAGTGTCCCTCTATCACTAGCTCTAAGAGGCGAACAGTTTTATCCAAGAAAGAGAGCAGAATGACTTTTTTTCTCGTCCCTTCCACTCCTAGGCCTGTTTTTGTAAAGATGTTTTTCTGCACTGTAAGGAGAGATGCACTGAGCTCCCATTTCAATTTTGAAACATTAGCTGCTTTGCAAATAGTGTCCTTCCCAGGCACTGTTTGCTCCAGCTCACAGCCAACCAAAACATTCTTCCACATTCTGGAATTCAGAACATCGGGTGCTCTGAAGAGCAGTATAAAGTGTGGATTGTCAGGAAACCCTGCTGCTAAGGTCTCAAGTCCACCATGACAGGAAAGCCCTGAGCTAGGTGGAAAATGAAGGACTCCTTTTGTTATCAAGGCTTCCTTCCTCTTCTCTGCCCAGAAGCCCAGATCCTCACATCCTCGAATATGTAGTCCTGAGGGAAATTACAGGTTCAATTCCCTTTCTCTTGTTAAGAACCCATTCAGCAAGCACCTGGGGTTCCTGGAAATGCCCCTCCAGGTAAATGAAGAACCCAAGGCCTACCCCACCTCCTTTGTCCCCTAGGGACCAATGAACCCAGAACAAGGGATAGTCACATGGAACCATAAAATTAGGACTGTATCAGTGAAAGGTCCTGGAATAAAAACAAACTGTGACTGACCTTGGCTGCAAGATGATCCTATCAATTTCTTATTGGAGTCTGCACCCACAGGTTGGGCCAGGGACTCTCACAGCAGAACACACTCTAACTCAATTTTCTCTTGTATTTAGCTTGCACAATAAATACTCATACACACTTAATTTTTGGAGTTGTGTATTCAATAAATTCAATAAACAGATAAGCAGTGATATACCAAACACAGGCATTATAAAGATTTTTTAAAGTAAATGTATGTTTAGAATAAAATGCTGTTACGAAAACCAGAATTGGATTCTAATAAAACAAGGCACAATGTTTAAGGCAAAATTTATGAAGAAGGTATATAAAGTTAATATACGATATTTTTAAATGTCCTTTGGGGGAGGAGGCACAAGAATTTAAATAGCTTAAACATTCTTTTAAAAACATTAGCCATTATAAAGTAACATACATTTGATACAATAGGACTATCTCTTTGACAGAAACAAACTCTACTGGGTAATTATATTTGAGTTACATTTTAATTATGTATATACTTAAACAGCTATTTCTAATACACAAGACTTTAAGGACAGAAAATTAAGAAGTCAGAGCATACATTTGACCAAAGTAAAGGTAACATCTTTTCAGCATCTTTTGATGGTACGTGAAGCCCCTAATGTTATGAAAAGCTAACACTGGTTATTTAAAAAGCTTTTCCCATTATGTTTTCGTTTCTCACAAACACAAAGTGGGCTCAGAATGCAACAAACCTTAACACAAGTCCAGACATGCCTGTTAGAAAAGTGACTAGCGGTTTAACACTGTTCTCAGGAATACCAGTGCTGACTATGTAAACTGTGAACAGTGACTCTTAACCTTCCCTATACACAGCACCAACTTGGTTATGGCTCCAATGCCAGAAAGAGCAATGCCAACTCATCCTAGCTTCCCCTCAGCTAGAGTTTTGAAAGACACAATTTTATTCAATTTATTCATGGCCAAAAGAATAAAGAAAGTATGTTCTGTTGAATGCAGATAGTTTTCTGCATGCAAATAACCTTCATTAAGCTACTAGATTTAATACATACATACGAACCCGAACATTATATCAATCATCGAGGCTGACTGATGCTAAGGAAAAGACCAGCAGCACCTGTAAAGATCACCTAAGTACTCAACTTTGTGAGTCAGTGGAATGCTTCTTAATTCAATCCTTAGTAAATATAGATCATGAAAAATATAAGAGGAATGGAAGCTTTACATATTAAAACACCCACTTTCAACCTAGAGGAAAACTGGTGCCGAAACATGCTAGACTTCAGAGTGACAATGTTTTCTTAGGACGGTGGAACTTCTGTTTTCCTCTGTCATAGCACAAAGTGCTTAATAAAACACTCTACAAAAGATACACCTTTCAACTGGAGGCAGGGTATTGGTGGTGGGCTCAACCAACCCTTGATTCTGGAGGGCTCTGATCTCCTGGCACAGTATACTTCGGAGTCCCTCCCCAGATTACCCCCCCCCCCCCACACACACACACAGTGAGCCCTGCTATGGAAAAAGGAACCTCTCAGGCCCAGTCTTTCCCTTTGAGTCAAGTGCAGAAGATCACACAGCTATTACTGATAATTTATCATATGATACTTTCTTTCCCATGCTTTGGGTTAAATGGAAGATGCAGGCACTTTCAGACCACAAAGGACATTGCTATCTACTATGCTATTAAAAAGATCACACGATGATGAAAATATAAAACCACATATCATTGAGTTAATGCTACATAACATTATATGCCTAATACACAGCTAGTGAAGGCTAAACAAACACTTCTTTTTAAGCGCTGGAAAAGGACTATGTGTTTTAGGTCATGGTGCCTAAAAGCCTACACAGTACCCTTCACTGTGTTACATGCTTAGTCTAAGTTAAAAACTCAATATTTTGGACTAAATGAAAAACAATACTTACAATAAAATCTCTACTTTTAGATGAGAGGCAAATCATTTAGATAAAAAATAGGCACTTTAAAAACTAAAAGCAGCTAAATAATCTTACATATATGTTTACTGGTAAAGTCGTTACCTACAAGCACTTACATGGAAACTTAAGAGAATAAACATGTGTTTTATATGTAAATAGCTACTACTAAATACTTGATTTGCAGTTTAAAAAAACAACGAAAAGGTAAACACTAACCCAGGCTACCTGCTTTAGCCTTCAGGTCAATGAGGAGCGACTTTCTGACTGCGGAAGAGCTAGGCTAGAAGAAAGCCTACAGCTTGCTGGCTCTCCTTTATGAGGAGGGATATGAACAGCCTTCTGGCAGCAGGAACCAATAGAGTAACTAATAATAACAATGATAAAAAAATTTAGTGGCAAGGTTTTTAGACAGTAGTAGCAGGCCACTTGATAAGTCAATTGTAAAACAATTCATCATTATTCTACAGGGCTTCATTGGCTCAGGGACTTCCCTGGGTACCTATGACTTTTCTTTCCCTGTTTTTTGTGAGTTTTAAAGACTTGTTTCAGTTAATATTCCAGCAAACAGCCTTTTCTAGATACTTCAGTTCAACCCACTATTTACAGTGTCTGTTAGAATACTGCAGCAGCATGCTGCAGTAAGGGTTGCCTTTTCTATTTACATCACCCCAGAATTTCTTATATATCAAGGACAATTTACAATTCATGCCTATTTTTAATATTGGTAACAAAATTTAAATATCAAGATTTTTTAGACCAAGAGGCACCTTTGGCACATTTTTAAGTAAAATATTGAGTATGATACATGGTAATCCCAGCAGTTGGGAAGCTGAGGCAAGAGCATCATCACAAGCAAGCCAGACTAGGCTATATAGCAAGTTCACGGCTAGCCTGGGCTACACAGCCAGGCCCTGTCTCAGAGAATAAAATAACTATTATGACAATTAGACCTTGCTAACTCTGAAACTCTAGTTCACTGGCTAGATAAACATGCGACTCACAACTGGTGAGACAAATTAGGGTTTAAAATGTAGTCTGCTCACTTCAGAAGATGACCATCTTATTTCTGGATGGCTAATTCCTATCTCACGAAGTTGATGTCTAATCATTAGTTTAAAGAAAGGAAAAATATGACAAAGAAACAAGAAAAATTTTAGAAATCACTGGCAGTTTTTGTAAAACTTAAGGCCAAAGATGGGTTTTAACAAAATATAAAGCAGCTAACAATGCAGAGTTCATTAAAAGCGGCTGGTGCCAGGCGTTGACTATGGCTCGCTCAGCGCGCACTAGGCCCTGGGTCTATCCTCAGCATCCCTACCCCACACTGCACTGGCACATGGCTCACAGACTTCACCTACACATATAAAGAACCACAAGAAACACTTTGTTGAAAGAACATCACAGGATACATCTATATGGCACAGGTTAGAAACATCTCTGGCTGAAATATTTACATCCATGAAAGAGGAAATATACCCTCTTTCTAGGAGGCTAGAAATGGTAAAATGCTCTATTTACACGGCTATTTACAGGAAATTCCTAAAAGGCTACTTAAGCTATTACTTAGTCAAGATGACTGTCAATCAAGACAGTAGAAGTATTTAATCCAGAAGAATAGGGTCCCATCAATTTGAGCATTTTCCATGAAAACACTCAGTGTTGTTTAACTAAAGCGATTTAATTACAAAGCATCTGCAAGCCACCTCTGCTTTTCCTTTCCCTGCAGTGTGCAGCTTATAGTTGCTTGCTTGGTGAAATACGACTATAACTTTTATCACACAAGTACATTAGCAGTAGAAACATCACTTCTATAAACACAGCAAGAACATTTCTAAATCAAAAAAAAAAAGAAAAAAGAAAAAATACTAATCTTACTACACTATTCCGAGGAAAAGGTAAGGGGACTCACTATAGCAGCGTTTCACAACTGCAGCCACGAAACTCTCGTGTTTCATGACGTAACACAAACACACATACAAACCCTGAATTACCCTATAATCTACTAATATAATCTACTAAAATAAAAATTATACAAAAACATGCAAATATTCTTAGAATACAGTTGGCTTCTAATAAAGCACTCTTTAAGCGATTACCTGATGCCCTAGTGCAATCTGAAACTATTTTTTACTACCTACCAACTAGCCTTCATGTTATTATAGGTTGGTTTATCATCAATAGTAAGTTATACATTTTCTAATGTTAGCATATAGTTTTAATATGTATTACATAATCAATAGTTAATCTGTTGATTTCCAATGACAATAATTTGTTAGCATTTTTCTCCTGCACTTTAAGGATAAGCATATTTAATGTTTTCTCAATACATTTTTGGTGTTCACTGTTCTATGAACTACTCTCCTGTGGATGAATGTAGTGGGCTCTGCTGACTCTCTTCATTGTCATGTGTATTTAGTGGTAGTTTTTAACATGTAGGAGTTTTGGTTTAGTAAACTGGTACAAAGGAGGTTAAAATCCACCGCTCCCACTTTGAGACAAGTTTTCATGTATGTAGCCCAGGCTGGCCTCAAATCTACTATGGAGCCTAGGTTAACTTTGAACTCTTGATCTTCTGCCTCTACCTCCCTAGTGCTGGCCTGGAGATGTGCACAATATATTCAACTTTTCCACATTTAGCCCATTGTTGTAAAGCTGCTATTTTTAGATTATTTCTCATCGAGATTTTTCTGTCAAAACTATTATTCTGTCTTTTGGTGAATAGACGGTAGCCTCCCATTAACTGTAAAAGCTTAGAAGAGATCTTTGCAGTTAACAAAAATGAGGCTAAGATGGCCACAGAGGCAGGCAGTAGCACACACCTGTAATGTCAGCACTAAGGAGGGAGTGAGAAGGCAGGTGTATCTCTGAGTTCCAGGCCCACAGAGCTCAGGTTGTTTACCTAGTTGGTTAATGCATATTTCCAAGTGCTTTGCATAGTGTCAGGTTGTAGGTTGCTCTGAAATCATTTCTAGAATACGTGTCTATATTCTTGCTAGCATTAAGGCACTATAACACATCACTGCTAGATTGTATAAAGTTGTAACAATCACACAGAACAAGAACTGGTTTAAACATTCCATTGTAAAGTTGGAGTCCTTACTGTCCAGTCAGGTGGTCAGAAAGTGCAGGGCTAACACAGGAAAGGCTCATTTTAGTTATGGTATAGTGTTGCACATAAGCCAGGACAACCCTGGTAACGCAACTGTGATGACCTCTTACTTCACTCAACTCAGCTGTCCCCGGTGACACCATGTCTGGCTGATTATATGACTATTCTTCAGAAGGAGTATTCTGGTAGTATTTCTTCAAAGACTTAGGTGAAAATTGTGACCAATCAGCTGAATTTTGAAACGACATTCAGAATAATTTATATTCAAAGAACCTAAACATGGAACTGGACTCATTCCTGTTGAATGCGTGGATTGAGTGCAAAACCTTTCAAACCGTCACAACTCTCACATAGACATTCAAGATGAAAACACCAAGGCTTCCAATCAACCTCAAGCTCCATTTTCCTTTTCACTCATCTTTGCTCAGTTTTAGTATTTTTCAACACTACTGCTGTTCAGCCAAGAAGAACTTTCTGCATTCTGTGTGCAGCAACACTGGCTTCATCTTCTGAGTCAGACTCACTCTGTGATGTGGAGCTGTGTGAGGCAGAGCTGCAGGGGGAAGAGCATTCTGGAGAACACAAATAGTGCATGAGGGGGAGGCGATACTTCCCACAGAAGTCCACAAACTTAATTTGTCTGACACAGCAGTCAAAATAGACTCCTAGAGGGAAGATGAATATACGAAGTCAATAAAAGCAAAGAGCCATAGTTTTTTTTTAACCCCTTTCCAAAATTCTGGAGAAATACTACATACAAACTTCTCTCTTTGGGAATCTCAAGCAGGAGTATTAGAGCAGTTCCTTCTAATAGCACAGTGTAGAGAGATAAATGACAGATATCCCATGTGGCAATATGACTGCTAACAGGTGGCCGTGAGGGCTGGCAAGATGGCTCAACAGATAATGGAGCTTCTGCCAAGCCTGACAACCTGAGTGATTCCAGAACCTATGCGGGGAAGAGGAAAGAACTGACTCCTACAAGCTTCCTTGTACGCTGTGACACAAGTCATTCATATTCTCACTCATTCATTCTCCCTCTCTAAATATAAACGAACAATTAAAACAAGAAAAAAGGCAAGACAATATATATGAAAGGTGCCAGCTCAGAAAGAACAGGACACCTGTTTATTTTGCATATTTTCTCTGTCTGACAGAGATGACAGGATATGTCAAGTGCCCTTATTCTGCATCCCCTCCTCAGTTACCAGCACTGTCCTACAGTCAGAAGACTAAATAAACACTTCCTTTAGTAAGTAATGACCATACAGGAATTTACAGAGAGGAAAAGAGCTGTTAATATTCATTCTTGTCTTTTGGGAGGGCAACATCTATTATAGCCCAGGTTGTCCATAAAACTCTAGCTTGGTCTTGAACTCCTGATCCTACCATTTCCATGTCTCCAAGGGCTTAGGATAACACATGTGCACCATCACTAAGAAACAAAATTTTGTCTTACATTTATGCAGGCTCTAATCTCTGGGCTGCAAAACTGCTATCTCATTTAGTTCACACAAAAGCAAATACACTCTGGTAGATGAAAACAGCTATTTCCCTCATTTGTTTCCAGAAGATGATGGATTCTGGGCATATGAGATTTCAGCAGGAAGCCCTGCTGTGAACACTGCCTCTTAAAGTCTCCACACCCTAGCTTTCCACAGTGCCCTGCCACCGCCATAGCTGCCTCAAGACACAGGCCCACAGAGAAGGCTCAGCATGCCCTGCTGACAGTGCAGCACCCCGTGCTTCAGAGAGGGAGTGGCCAAACCAGCTCAGAGAATGCTGTCTTTTTAAACCCAGTCTTTTCATCTTGTGTTTTTCCCCTTTACCTCTACACCAATCTCAAGATGAGACTTTCTGAAAACAATCTTACTTTTTGTTTCCTTTCAATTTGCCATCTTATTTTTATCAAAATGTTCCAAGATAGAATGAATTTTCCAGGGTGAAAATTCCTTCTATTTAAAAGCAAAATTAGTATGAAAATAATTTTTAAGAGGGAAGGAGACTCAGGGGGGCAAATCCATTACTATCTAGTAACTGACTTTTTGTGAAAGAAGCTTCAGCTAATTAAAATAATACAACATCAAATTTTTAAAATAGCTAAGTGAGTGAAGAAAGCCAACACCAGTTTCACTTACCACCACACTTTGGATTTGGGCAGTTGCTGGCTGAACCCAAGTACCTAAGAAGATTCCCAGGAAGATCATAGGGAGTGTAAGAAATACTTCGGATCTTAATGGTCCTTGCAGCCAATTCCAGAAGAGTTGGAGGGTCATAGGTTAAATCTCTAACAAAACGCACAACCAGTGGATTTCCCCGCAAACTCAACTCTTCCAGATGAATAAGGTTGAGGATCTCTCGGGGCAGGTATGTCAGCAAGTTATTGTGGAGACTGAGGGAACGAAGTGAATGCAACCTGGAGTGAATGCAATGCAGAAACCAAAGCAATGGGTGAGTAAGAGTAGGAAGTTACATTTACATACAATTCTATATGTACACAAACAAGTCTACATTTATACATACAGGGTCTGAGCTTCCCACATGAATTAACAATTAGGATAAAGGAAAAATTAGAAGTGTCTAAAACCAGCTCCAAATAGTTTTAAAAATGCTAAAGACTTTCCCTCTGGGATCTTAAGAATTCTCAAACATTTACAAAGTATTCTGATGTTCTAGCTGGAGATAAACAATAGATTTAAAGACCTTGGAGGGGAAATATATTTTATCACTTATACACTAAAAAAGATTTCAGTATGCTATGAATAATGATCCTTTTTATTACAAGGCCTTATCAGGGCAGGAGTGCTTAACACCAGGCACAAATTGCCAACTTCCACAAGACCTGAGGAAAGCTATGCCAAATTGCTACTCTATTCTTTCTTTTTTTTCCCCTTTGTTTTATTTCCTTCCTTCACTCCTTGTTTTAGTTACAAGAAGAAAGCTAGTGGTTGGGTCAGTCAGTAAAGCCTGTATCTTCTTCTATGTACAAGGACTGAGATCAATCAAGAAATACCAATAAAGAAAGTGTCAGCTGTGGTGCACACTTATAATCTCAGCATTGGGGAGGCAGTTCCCTGGGGCCTTCTGGGCAGTCAGTCTAGCCTACTTGTGAACTTCAAGCCAATGAAAAAGGAAATGAATGGCAGCCAGTCATTACCTGGCCTCCACAAGCAAGTGCACATAAGCATACATCATGCATACCTGTGCTTACCTGCCTGAGTGTGTGCACATGCACAAACAGCAAGCTGAGTAACTATTTTGAGGCATAAACCAGAGCACTTGAAAGTAAACTGAAAAGTCAGACGTGGTGACACTCAGCACTCAGGGAGGCAGAGGCAGGCAAATCTCTGTGAGTTTGAGGCCAGCCTGGTCTACAAAGTGAGTCCAGGACAGCCAAGGCTACACAGAGAAACCCTGTCTTGGGGGAACAAAGGAAAACTGAAAATCACTCAGTTTACAACAAACTGAAGAGTTTATAACAAACAAAGGAAAACTGAAAATCACTCAGTTTATAACAAACTGAAGGTTTAAATTACAACTTTTTTTTTTTTTTTTTTTTTTTTTAAAGAACACCCATTTTTATTTTTAAAATCCAGGTCTCCCTAGGTAGCCCACACTGGTCTTGAACTTAAGCTTTTCCTGTCTCAGCCTCCCTAGTGCTGAGATTATCAGGGTGCCCTTAGTTGTCTTCAGTGACTGCTGCCCACAGATGTGTCTGTTGAGCTGAGACTACTCACTGTGAAAGCTGAGGAGGTACACTTTGGATTTTGTTGTCACACAACACCAAGTAATTCAGAGAAGGGAGATTTGCTAATTCTGGTGGGATTTCTTTAATGAAGTTTCCTCCAAGGTATAAACATTCTAAACTGAAAAAGCAAATAAAAAAAAAAAATAAATACAAGCTGGTCAAGGTAGTCCATTGTCTCTACTATAATTGACACATTTCATCTACCCATTCCCCAATGTCTTACTCAGGATCTGCTGTGTGCTAGGCAGGCTCCAGAAAAGAGAACGTAATCCCCAAGGAGCTTATACCGTATCTCAACTACTTTAGTTTTTCATATGTATTGCAAGAATTCGTACTGGCTTTTTAAGGCACAATTCAAAAGCTTTGGTTTTGCCATTTGCCTTACTGGATGCTAGTCTCCTATATAACCACAGCATTCCTTTCAGACTTCTGTCACTTTTAGCTCCCCATAATCAAAAGCTACACTGAGGAGTCATCCAAGTTTCTGACTCCTAAAAACTCCCTGTTGGAGTGTTACTCAATTCATTCTAAGTATTTCTCTTTGTTCCTATTTTGCTTTGAAATCTACTTCCCTTGATTATCAAAACTGCTTCCAGCTTTTGTTGTGTTGTTAGCATTTGTTTCATTCAATTCTACCACTTATTGGTATAAAGCATTACAAGTTGTTATGGCCATCTGTAACGCTCCTATGTGTTCATATTGAGAATGCTTGGTTCCCAGATGGTGGAAATGGGTCACTAGTAGCAGTCGGTAATGGTCACACTCAGTCCCTCGTTCTTGCCACCTACCACTGAATAAATCAACTTCTGCCACACATTCCTTCCTGGACTGAGCTGCTTCCCATGTCTTCCAACCACAAGGCTGAAACTGTCACTTCTTTCATCAAGAATTTTGTTACAGCGAAGCCAAAGCAATAATCAAGGCAACTACTATGTAATTAACAGGCAGGTAGGAATACAGAGCAGGTAATGATGATAAAGGAGACCAGGGAGCAGGGAGCAAGGTGGGCCCTCCCAGATCAATCATCAATTAAGAAAATGCAGGCCAGGCCAGTTATTTTTTCAATTGAGATTCCCTCTTCCCAAATAATTCTATCCGTGTCAAGTTGACATAAAACTACCCAGCAGTACCCCAGCTGGAAATAGGTGCTCCCTCCCCCATGAGTTGTGGTCAACAGGGTCCCAGAGACCCTTAAATATTACAGATTATTGTTGCTTTTGATTATCCTCCAGATCTTGATGGTAAGAGTATATTGCTGAAGACATTATATATTTGAATCATAAAACATGGAGAAATCAAATGGGTACTGACCTAGAAGCTTCATCTCTATTGTCTATACCCCAGGAGAAAAGTAATCATCAATTTCACCCACCTGTGAACTCAAGCTACAATAACTGGTCTGGCAAGACACACCCACTGATGCAATTGTAGTGTGAATGTTACAGGAATAACCAACTACTTTCTGACTGGATTAAAGCCTCTTCCATAAAATGGAGCCCATATTTGGCATTGATAATGGGGGTAAAAAAAACCCCACAAAAACCCTATAGTTAGGTATGTCATAGGCCCTAGGGGAACCAACTAAATTAAACAGACATACTATAAATGAAAGACTTACTGCTATACACAGATCAGTGCATCTCTCAATCATCATCAGAGAAGCTTCTTGAAGTAGAGAGCAATTACTACAGAGATCCACAACTGACTGACATGCTGAGGATAAGAGACTGAGGAGTGCTCAGCCCTAAATGGGACACCTAGTTCACATCGGTACACCCAAGGCTCAGAGATCTTCAAGTAAGAGGGGTTCAAAGGCTCTTTAGAGCCAGAGGTGGTGGATAACTTCAAGGAAACAGTATTTTCTAGACACAAGAAGACCGCTGCACATACTAACTCACAGCAATTGTGACAGCATGCAAAAGACCTGTGCAAGCTTAATCCACACAAAATCCCAGCATGGAGTGGAAGAGGTGGATACAAAGTCCCACCATTAGTTGAGGAATTAGTCAAGCATTTGAGAGCTGCTGAGAGGGGGAGACTCAGTTTCTTTAATGGTGTAACTCTCCAATAGGTCAACCACATTCCAGTGCAGGCCCAACAACTAAGAGTAGCCAGGCAACACAAATACTGAACCTGGCGGGTTTACAACAAAACAAAACAAAACAAAACAAAACAAAACAAAACACTGAGAGAGAACTTGGAAGTTGGGTGGGTAGAGGTATGAGTGAACCTAGGAGTGTGGTGTGTGTGTGTGTGTGTGTGAGAGAGAGAGAGAGAGAGAGAGAGAGAGAATATGAATCATCAAAATACATTGTATGAAATTAAAGGAAGTCAATACAGGGAAACTGACACCCACAAATCCAATGTATGATTCTAAATGGGGAGGGAGTTTTTATTTAACTTTTAGCACATTCTCCTACTTAGCATCTTGTTGAGTTAACCTCTTTCCTATGCTATCTACTGTAGACTAGCTTTAACATTCCTGGAATTTTTAGCTTTGTTTTTGTCACAATTCTTACATCTTTATTCTTGAAAACCACATTAAACAGACATCAAGAGAAGGTCACCAAAAAAGAAGACATCGCTTTATTAAAAAACACGGTGAAAAAAGGATCCAAGAAACTCACATTTTTAGAAACCTTTTTAGAAATCTTTTTTAATTCAAAATTTTGCCACTAAGGGAAGAATCGACAAGCAGAGTGAAGAAAACTCCTCTCAGAGGCCCTGGAAACCTGGAGAGGCCAATGACATGTTAAACTAAGCTCTTTTTCTTTCCTGGAATGTTGACAGGTGGAGAAAGGAGGGGTATTCTGTTGGCCTGTGTAATTTTTTTAAAACTGTTTTTCTTAACAGTTCTTTAAACGGAGAGAATCTTCATGTGCCAAGATACTAGACTTGGCCTAAGAAGTGGCTCTTGCCTAGCATGTGGAAGGTCATTTGGTCTGCCCTTCGCACCAGGAAGAGGAGAGGAGAGAGCAGCAAAAAGTAAATGTAAGGTTTGAGAATTTACAGACTTTGGAAGAACACGATGTTCAAGAGCTGCTGAAGGGTCCCAGTAACACCGCCTCTCCATTTTACCACGTTAATGCACTATTTCAGAATATTTAGCAGTCTCTGAGAACTCAACCACCAAGCTCTCACTTGTGGCCATAATGTGGCCTCAAGCAACTCAATTCACAAGAAATCTCAGCTTCCTCATCCATGAAAAGAAGGAAATGAACTAGGTCATGGTCAAAGCTGCTCCTTTCTCTAGGAGCACAATTATGCAATGACCCTTCTGGCCTACATCCAAGCAGAATCTATTCTCTAAACCCTTGCTGATTCCCATCAGTGGAGAAATAAAGTGTAGGACCGAACAACAACCATGGTGCAAAAGGTCCCACAATATATCAACTCTTAAGACATAATGACTAAAACCATTGAGTAGCAGTTGTCAGGCCAGAAAATCACGTCAACCAGGGCCTGAACCAATCCTCTGGATCATATATTCAACAGAACAGAAGCCTGGAGACTCAAGTCCCAGCCCTACTTGGCATGTGTGCAAAACTCATGGGTTTGGCATCAGAGACCCCAGATGTCAAATCCAGTTCCACAACTTAATGGGTCTGAGATCTTGAGACTCCATTTCTCTGACCTCTATTTCTTCCTCTAAAAACAGAGAGTACCCCATCTTAGAATCACAGACAATGTCAGAGCACCTATGACAGGGCCTACCACACTGCACACTTTAAAGTTTTCCATACATGGAATTTTGCTTACTTCTCTTTTGCCATGTCTCCCTGGGTTCCTCTTAATATACTGGGATTGAAATGAAAAGGTTGAATTACATTATTAAATTGGTTTGTGAAATGTCAGACACATCAAGTATATTATTAACATTAAGGTTGAAAGGAACCAAAGCCTGCTGAGTTAATAGAACTCTACCAACTGTCCTATATCTTCCCTTTTCCTAGCACTCCGGCTGCAGGCTACCATCACTTCTATTCTAGCACAATGGCCTCCTAAGCAGCCTCAAAGCCCCTTCATCTACAGCCTCTGCCCAAGCTGCAGGGACAAGGCGCATGAGCACATAGAAGGTATCCACACTCTATGGAAGCAGATGTGATACAGCCTAAGCGGCACCGATTTTTATCTGCTCCTGCCACTTTCTAGGACAATGTTCATCTTTCAGCAGCTTGGTAATTACTCTCCTTTTTACTCGGACTGGTCCCAACAACTCACACTCTCAATCTCCACCATTAGTTACTTCCTTCAAAAGCCTGTCTCAAATGGAACTTACTCAAAGGCACTTAGGTCAGATCCTTGTTTCTGTCTCAAGGTGCTCTCCTCAGAACGGAGGAAAATGTTGGACACATGGAGTACTCTTTACACATCTATTAGCAAGTTAGGGGACACTGTGCTCAGATGCCTCATTTTGCAAAGAGGACACGTTAAGTGACCTGCCTAAGGCTGAGATGTGAGGAAAAGTTTTTATTCCCGCGTCAGTGTTTTTTCCCTGTTAACTCAAAAGTTCTCCCAGCTCCACATTCTTTTATCTTGGCTAATCCAATAAAACAGGCTGAAAATATTTAACAAATGAAGAGATTTTGGTTGCTGTTTTACTTCCAACACCCCTTCAGGGTACCTTAGGGAACTTTTAGTAGCCTTTTACTGTGTACCTTCTCACTGCATTACTGAATAACCTCCTAGGTGAGGTAGACAATTCCTGTAAAGAAGGAATGATGCTCAAGAAAAGAAATGCAATGATGGTAGTTATGGCTAGTGAGATACAGAGTGTGGCTTGGCTCTAGTTGTCCAGGGAACCGTAAAGAGAGGAACCACAGAAAAGACTCCTCTAAGATTTTCAAGTGTCACTAGCTCCCCAAGGTCAAAGGAAGCGCACCCAATCCCACCCAAGCCCCATTTAGTGAGCGACGAGCTGCCTTTTGGGAGTGCTCACTAACTCCACAAACGCTGCTTTGGGCATCGCTAAAAAGAAGAGGGAGCTGGAAATGGAGCGAAACAAGGGAGTAGGTCAGAGCACCTCCTACGCCACGTTAAAGGGCAAGCACTTTGATACAAAGGCACGGAGAAGCTTTCCAGGAAGACACCGACCATCTCTGTTCCCCCTTGGCTCCCTCTCTGGACTCAAGCATAGCAAAGCAGGGCTTAAAGGCGCAGAATTTGAGAGGCCGAGGCAGGGGGATCTCCGCGAGTTCGAAGACAGCCTCGTCTACACAATACATTCCAGAGCTCCCGGGGGGTGGGGGAGGGGGGACACGACGCCCTCGACGATCGGCGCAGACCAAACACAGCGCCAAAGCCACGGCCCGCTCCACCTCAGTTACAGGCTACCTGCGGCCACGGCGGAGCTCGGGCCACCGCCCCGTCCTCTCCCCCACCCCCACCCCGCAGCCGCTTCACCTCCGCAGGTTCTCGATCTCGGCGGGGATGCTCTGCAGCTGGTTGCCGCCCAGGCTGAGGGTCTGCAGGGCGCGCAGCTCCAGCAGCGAGGGGGGGACCTCCTGGAAGCAGTTGCCGCTGAGGTTGAGCACCTGGAGGCTGCGGCAGAGCGGCGAGCGGGCCAGGCCCTTGGGCAGCGAGCCGGGGCCGCCGAGGCGGTTGTTCCTGGCCAGCAGGGTGCGCAGGCCGCTCAGCCCCAGCAGCTCGGGCCCCAGGGCCGTGAGCGAGTTGCCGCTCACGTCCAGGAGCTGGAGGTGCGGGAAGCCGCTCGCCAGCGCCCGCGGCAGCGACGTCAGGCGGTTGTAGGGCAGCAGCAGGCGCTGCAGCGCCTCCCGCGCGCCGCGCCGCTCCTCGGCGCGCGCCTCCAGCTCCGACTCCAGCGCCTCGGCCGACACGCTGAGGCGGGACCAGTTGAGCTCGGCCTCCCCGATCGCGGCCTCCTCCATGGCCGCCGGATCGACCCGAGGCGGGGAGAGGCGAGGAGGAGAGGCGACGCGAGGCGAGGGGAGGCGGCGCGGCCCGGAAACCCG